CCCCCCCCCCCGTAACTGTCCCCCTTTCACTTATTAGTCTCTCTTCCTATCATTTCTGTGACACATTCTTTCATGTATATGCCCAATTTATATGTTTGTAGAAGTTTTGTTTTACCACCCCAAAAGATTTTACATTTATTTACAAAATACCTACCAATAATCATTGCCATAGCGCTGCTGTTACACTGGCCAAGTGCAGACAAAATCTGGCTCATAATTTGTTGGTTGGCTAACACCAAGTCTGCCACATACGCAGTTGATCCTTGAGTATTAGGGTTATTTCCATTGCCATCTTTGCCTCCTGAAACCTTTTCTTCATCAGACACACTGTCTGTAGTACTGCTTGGTACTGGAACACGGGCACTATATTCTCGGTTACTGGAAAGCGGCAGTTGAACTAAAATGTTGACCAGCTTTAACAAATCAAACATAAGTTGATCCCTTGTCATTTCTCCACAAACTGCTTTGGCATCACCTGGACGGATAATATTGGCAAAAAGCCCTCCAAAACACGCTCGAGCACCCACAGAGCTGTCTGAGCCACTGCGAGACATCACTTTGTCTGAACATGTAATGTAATGATGCACAAGGAAGGTTATAGACTCAATTACTGCAGAAATAGTGCTAACTGATACAACTTCAAAATTCTGTTCCAGGGTGAATTCCAAGAGTTTCACTTGTGCATCCAAGGGTCCCTGGCCTGTCTGGAAAGCACCCCTGAAGGAAAACAACAACAACAACAAGAACAACAACAGAAAAGGGGGGGAAAAAAAAAAAAAGATATTTCATTGTTCAATATTAACAAGTTGAACAGGTTTGGTTGTTGGGGTTTTTTTCTGCTTGATTTTTAAGAATCACAAAGCACACCAGCCTTTCAATAAATAAAAATCCATCCATTTTCAGAAATGCATATTGAAGCACAATCTCATCTTTCACATGAGTCAAGCATTCATAACTTTTTAACATACTGGTCATTACACAGCCTGTAGAGTTCATGAATTACTTTCCTGATATTACTAAGGATTCAAGGTTCATTTGAAAAAGTCTGGGATCCATCATGTTTTTTTATCATTCAGTTAATTTTGTAGGTATAGGCTTGGAATACAGTCCTGTTCAGTTGCGGGTGAAACGTTTTGTATGTTTGCAGGGAAACTTCATGGGAAGAAGACATCTAATACTTTAATATCATTAGGATTTTTTTTTTTTGTTTTCTAACAGGAAATCATGATGGATTTTTTTCTTCCTATAGGGTTTTTTGTGGAGTTTTGTTTAGTTTGTTTTGTTTTTTTCCTTTTTTACCCCTGAGGTAGAAAGAAGAATGGTCTAACTATACATAAGACCATGAAAAGGTACTCAAACCATCACAAGTTGCTGCTTGTAGGTTGGTTACTTTAAGGTTCTCTTTTAGGGGCAAGTTTATTTTCCCAATTGCTATTACATGTGTACTAGTGGACTACAAAATGAACCTTTTGAATCAGTAATTTTATTTTAAAATAAAACTGGTGCTAATTCTTGAAGTGTTACTGATTTTTTATAGATTTCTCTGTTATCTATTGACATTGATTAATCTTACTATAACTTTTAAAATTAAAAACAGAACAAAGCAGTTTATATAAACAGGTCTGAAGAAAATTATTTGGCATTTAATTAGTTCTAACAGTAAGACACTGCTTTGCTTCACAATCAATCTTATGCTTTGATCAGGTATGATATACTTCAATAATTACCTGAGGCTTTAGAAATAACCAACTAAACCTTTTCCCGGTGCTTCGCTTCCATTTTATGACATTTCAGTCCCACCTTTGGTTTGTCTCAAAAAAACGCAAACTCTTAACACATTTCAGAAACTATACTTTCAGTGGTCTCATCAGCTTATTTCAAATAAGGTTATGGCATGTAGACGCACATTCCAAGATTTACTGCGAATTAGTGACTTTATTGTATTAAGACATTTCTTGTATAAGTGATTGATCATCAGTGTAACCTGGTAAACACCACACATTCAATTTAAGTTACTACGGTAAAATTTCTTAGAAAAGGCTGAAACTGTTTTCTGTCCGATTAAAGAATAGATAACACCAAAGTGCCACCTACTGGGAAGCCAGAAACTGAGGAAGCTCATCCCTAATTATATGAAGTCTTTATCTGGGGGATGAGCAGAACATCAATACCAGAAATAAATGATAACTCCAAATGTACTTCAGACCAAACAATTGGCACATTTCTGGTGTACTGCTGTATACATAACATTCTTATGAGAAGCTGAGATATAAAAGACAAGCCATAAGCTCTTATCTCTCCCCTGGCCAGTGGCACTCTGCACTAGTGGGGAGACAAGACGTCAATAGGCCCCAGAAGAAGAGTGGGGCAGAGGAAGTTTTGCACTGTCAGGTGAGGAGAAGAGGGGGGAGGAGAAAAAAAAAAAAAGACATAGCAATAAATATGCATATTACATAAATAGGGTTATGCAATCTCGTATTTTATCCTACCATGGTGTAAAAGCCATCCATATTATTTTCAGAATCTACAAACGATTTCTAGAATCTTTCATTAATTCAGATGTCTTAGAATACCTTTTCTCTTTTTAATAGGTAAGCTCATCAACAGTGCCGTATTTTACGGATTACTTTAACAAGGCCTATATCTTAGCTCTAGATAAAAATCAGTCCAGCCAACTGTTTAGTGCTTCTCTTCACTGTCCCTCACACACAGACTACTGTGTGTGGATCCCAGTCACACTCTTCCACATGTCAGAAGCAGCCCAGATCCTGCTGGTAGTGCTGCAGCAACAGCTAAGAACTCCATATATAACTTGACAGTATGACAAGGTGTGACTTACACATCTTAGTTCTAATTCACACTCGTGTGGATTTTAAAGACAAAAGGAGTGTAAAAAGAAAAAAAATAGTTAAGATTTACCTTTCTGTTGAAAGTATATGTATTAATTTCAATAAAAATTCACTGAACATCTGAGGACAAGTTGAAGAAAGATGCACTTGTAATCGAGTAAGAAATTCTTGCATAGCTTGTGTTGCTGTTGGCCCAACCTAGAAGGAAAGGCATTTTAATAGGTATTATATAAAACTGAAACGTCTTCAAGAACATTAAGTAGTATCTAGCAAGAACATTTTCTAAGAACAGAACAGTATTATGTAGCTTAATTTGCTTTCTGAAAAATTTTACAGGAGAACTATTCTGTATCAATTTATATTATGCGTTTTTCCATTACTAACCATGGCTAACAAGCAAGTAATTCAGTCCTTTGCCTAAGACTTGTTTTCCACCTTGAGACTTTATCTTTTCAGCAATGCAAAAAGACGCTTCACAGAGAATACATTTCTGTGCTAACCTGAATGTTTTTTCACAAACTACACATTTACATGTAAGTGCTTTAAATTAATAGCACTGCAAAATGTTTAAGTTCTGGAAAAGACTATGTATTTTCTGGAAATTTTTCTGGAAAACACTGGAAATACCAGGTGTTTTCTGTCTCCTAAACTGAGTGTTTCTGAGACTTCTGTCAAATATTACATAGAATTAAGTTAACTTGAGCTTTTTTTTTTTTTTTAATCACTATTCACAGATGTTTCAAAGACTGCAAAAAACAAAACATTAGTGGAAATTAGGAGAAACAGTAGATACCACATGAATTCACAAAACAGGCAGAAAATAAAAGCATAATTATAGATTCTGGAATTATTAGGTGTTCAAACTTAATCTTCATTGGCATTTTTATGCCAACCCAACAAGATTTCAGGAAACTATTACTTTTTTCATGCATGCAACTAAGGAATCCTAACATGAAACACTTTCCCTGACATATTGTGTGGCATTCTCTCCCTGTGGCAAGTCACCAGATAATTGAAAAACTGTATGATCACTACTCAAAGTGTAAACCCAACAGGAACTCCCTGTGGTTGCTCACCAACTAAGTCTATAACAAAAAAAAAAAAGAAACAAGCCAAAGATATAATACATTCACGAACAACACATATTCATGTCAAGTGTATTGAAATTCTATCATGAAGAGTTTTCCTCTTATTTTAATTGCTAGTTACCTGTGGACTGTGTTGATTTGTTCCATGAGGATTAGTGCCGGAAAGAAATTTCACTAACACATGAATGAGGTTTGGATCTGACACCAACAATTGGGCAGTACTTTCCTGAGCTCCAATGACACTGCTTGGACCAGCTTAAAAATAAAGACATAAAAATTAAATCTGTAATCTTAAGCATTAAGTGTATATCAAACATTTATACTGTATATCACATACTTATTTCATTATGTGTACATAGTCTCAGCAAAATCAGCTACCAAAAGCAGCTTACTCAGCACTACAATTGTGTTTACAAGAGTCTTCATCACTCAAATTTCTTTAAACTAAGGAATATTAAACTAAAGATCTCAATCAGGAGAGAAACATCTCTGTCAAAAACAGAATTAAACCCTGACTGCTTCCATCTCAGTTGAAAAGCTTTCAGAGCAATGAAATAAAAATAACATTGGAAAGACACTTGCTATGAGAAAAATTCCTTGTGGGAAGATGGAAGAAGAAGATAATTCACAGTATGTTTTCCTCTTATCAAATGCCATTTTATTCTCAAACTATAAAGAGATCTCTTGCTTTAGATGACTAGAGAAAACTAATGCTGAAAGTATTTCTTATACAGCTGTACAAACCATTTTGCATTGATTTATCAACATTAGTAGTGGAAGAAGTCTGTATGGCTATGACTGATGGCATGGTAATAGATGGAGTTGAATAAAAGCAAGCAAGCACCCCACAGCATTCCAGTTCCATTGTACTGAGGACAATAAGCCTGCTCTAGTTCACATTTGATAGTGCAAAAGATGAAAAGGCTAGGTCCTGTCTGGGTGGGAGACAAGTCTGTACAAACTAAGCACACAATTTCACAGGTTCTCTGAAAGAAAAACTGATATTTCAGAACAGAGAAGCCTTCCATTGCAGGATGTGCCTTAGAAACACCAGTCTGCGTGAACTGATCAAGTGTATTTTCCCCTGTTGCACTTGCATCCCTGAACACTGACTTCAGTAAAACATACAATACACTGATTTCCCCTCTAAGGAAACTAGGTAATGTAGGTTGTTGGTGGAGGGTTTGTTTGTTTGGCTGTTTCTGAGTATATCATGATACAAGTTAAAAATGAAAATGACACTCGGGTCACCAAGAACACTAACTTGCTAAGCTAACAGCTCTTGTATGTATATTTTCACCTGTTATATTACTGCCCTTTGGGTTTTTTTGAAAAAAGTTCCACTTATAAACTATTTTTAAATTTATAGACAAATCACTATCACTAAAATTACATTCAACTGCAGCTGACATAACCAATCAAAATGAGAAGTTAATATTAATTTGGTTATTCTGTTTTTCAGTTTTCTGTAACTCTTCATTGTTTCAATGCAACTGTATCATTCAAACTTTGTGTATGACTTCAGTTTTGAGCCAGATGTCACTTGAGTTTGTCCAAAAGTACTGAGTGTCCAAATTAATTTTAAAATAAGTGTACAAACTGCCCACAATATTTATATATTTTTATTTGAAAAAGGGACATACTTTTGTGCTTTCCTGCATTCCTGAATGGTACCTTCATAGACAGAAGGTATTTCATTTTCTTCAGAGACCTTGAATCACCTATGAAGTCTATAATGATCAGTGTGACAAACAACACTGCTATTCAATATTCTTCTTTTTAAAAAAAAAAGAAAACAAAACAAACTCTCCATTGAAACTACAGCTTTTGGAATATGTATGCTTGCATTCTGCTGAACAGGGCACATTTGGGGTATAGCTTCAAGTCATTTAATTCACTTGGTATTTCTTTGAAGGTAACTATTTAAAACAGCTTCTTCCTGCCGTGTTCACTTTCATTGTTAGGTCTGTACTATAACTACTTAATGAAATCTGTCTATTTGTAAGACTTTACATCTTAATACAAGCAGATGTGACATTAGAACTTCCGGGGAATTGACAGTCCCAGCCCGTCTCCTCTTGACAAGCAGTAGCCAAGTCCACATGCTAACCCTAAACTCATTTCCTTCCAGGATTAGAAGGCTTCATAGTTTTTCTACTGGTTCATGATAGGGTTGACGCCATAACTGAATAAGTACATCTTGCTTACTTCCTCTGTTATTTTGTTTTTATATTTTTTTATTTAACAGCTGAAAATATCACTATAAAACCCCACTTTTTTCTGCATAGTCTGACATGTTTTGTTTGACATTCCAACTAGGAGTTCAGGATGCATCCACATTATCTGCTCTGCCTAGTATTTATACTCAAAACATTGCTCTCCAACAGTATTTCTGGTGACAACAATAACAGACAAGCAAAAGGGCATGTGAGGAGGGCACAAATAGTTCTTGCTAAAGGAACATATTAGTAAATGCACTGAGAATGATTTGAGAGATGATAGCTGTTTACTTCAGAGCAACTGTAGCTCTCTGCTTCTACCCACCTTCCTTTAGGTGGCATTAAATGGTTCTAGGTGTCACCCATCAAATACTGATTTTAAACAGCATCCTTGCAAAAGTTGTCCCCAGATATTGTAACCAATTAAGGTAATTGTTCTGAAAAGAAATGGCTGGAGGTATTGGGTTTATCCCTGAAAACTATCTTGCATGCCTTCAGTTTCTGAAGCACAGAAGTTACACAGCCTGAGCTCTCATTCTGAAGACCTTTATCAGCACATAATGGCATAATGAAATAAGATTTTTCTGACCATGAACTGACCTGCATTAGACAGTGGTGGCTCAAAAACCCAAGCTAGGACAGTTTCCAAAAAGAATCTGCCCTATACTCAGGTAGGGAAAAAACCCCAAACAAATAAAGCACCTTGATTACTACTGGAGAGATCTGGGGGTTTGGAAAAATAACTAAGAAATAGCTTTGAAAATAACATCAGGATGAGACCTCTAAAACGACCTCATTTCTCATGACAAGATCTTCGAATTCATTGATCCCTTGAAGAAATGGTGACCAAAAAACTGTAATTTTCAGAGTACAATAGTTCAGAAGCCAGAAGTGTGTTCAGAGACTACCTGTAAAATGCAAATAAGGCAAGACCCTTATCTAGAATGAATGAAGGAGTATGTAAAATCAGTGCCCTTCCCCTTTTTTTTCCCTTCCCTTCCCTTTCTTTTCTTTTCCTTTCTTGTTTTTAAATGAAAGACCGGGGAAAAGAATGGCTGAATGTGAACATATGTATCAAATGGCAATAATAAATTTCAACTAAAAAAGGCAAACTTAAGAAGGAGGTTCTCTGAGAAGGCTTTGAAATCCAATGGTTTAGAAAAATAGCAATAGTGGGATTTTCTCAGTGCTAAAATGTCCACCTGCAAAAGGATTTTAGTGAATCATCTATGAGCAGCTAACCCTCTACGTTGTTTTTCAGTTTCTGAAACAGTAAATATGATTAGCTAATGAGGTTTATGTCAAGAAGAGGTGGTGGTTTTTTCATCAGTGAAGGTATTTTGGAAATGAACACATTTGAAGGCCTAGTTGTATTTTGGGTATCAAAAGGGGAAAGAATTTAATTTTATAGCCACACACATCCAGCAAGACTAACCTGAATTATTCCCAATGAACTGTGACTGACATCTTAGTGGTTTAAAAAAACCAAAACAAAATTAAAAAAAACACAAAATAAAACCAAACACCCAGAGAACAGTCCCAACCATAACCTGTCAATACAGTGAAGATACGCGAGCAATTTGTACTTCATAGCTTAAAACATCACAGAATTAAAGAGAACAGAGGAGAAACTTGACTCCAAAGGCGGCTAACATGTTGCTTACATTTTAACCAGTCTCAGGAACAAATTGTCTTTAAAGTGTTCACTCTCTACTGACTGTATATATATAAAAAACCCAAAATCCTATCTTTTCTGGAAAGCATGATCTTGAAAATTATGAGTTGATGAGCACTCTTGTGAGATACTGCCTGTAATGGCTTAAGAGACTGTTAGTCAAAGTTCTGAACTAAAGCACATGGAAACCAAAATCATTGACTGGGGAAGTGCTCTGATGGATCCCACCTTCAATTGTCAAGAATTGAACAGAGATTATTTAACTTCTTAAACATGACAACTCAGTGCCATTGAGACAGAATGTTATCTTGAATTATTAGCTGTTGAGGAATCCTGGCACTGAAGTTACTTGATGGATGCTTAAACTTATTTAGCTCCTGGTTCTAACAGTGAGTATGGGAAAAGATGCAATTAAGGGATATATATCTGTGTTAATCCACAGGCATGTATAAAATTAATCCATATGCATGTATAAAAGGAGACACACCTTCAATCCTTTTCTTTACCCACCAACAAGCTCACATCTCCAATACTTTCCAACTCAATCCCAACCTTGGGCTTGCAATCCTGCGTACACAAAAATCCACAACCACACTCATGCTGAAGTGTGCCTGTGATGAGTCGTAGTGGTTGCTTCCAAGCAGCTTTTCATTCACATCGTCACTTACTGATCTCAGGCAGTTGCCTAAGAAACTCCTGCAAACACACAGCTACCTGTCTGTCAGTGTCAGAGCACAAACACTGAGCCTCATACCACCTGGAAGAGATTCACATATGGTCTCAGTGGTACACACAGTGTTATGTTTGGAAATTGCTAGTCTACCGGTACAAATTGGGAGTGTTGAAAATACACATGGGTGTTAACTGCAGGCACTGTTATCCTACAAATCAGGCCATGTTCTATTCTCAAATACCACGAATAAGATGGAGGTATCAGTTTGACAACATCAATTAAGTCTCTTCTGTTAATTTATGCACAACTCTACTGCTTCACCTAACAGCAAAAATTTCAGCAGATTTTTGTGAGATGGATCTCTATATAACATCACAGAAAAGGGACAGAAAGTAAAACCCTGAAGAAAAAAGTACAAAGTGCATCCCAAGGACAATGATGTGGAAATGGCACATACAAAAAAAAAAAGATTCATAAGCATCTTTGAAGCAATCTGCCGTCCCGTGATGACACAGCTATTCACAGTTTTCCTCAAAGAAGTGTGATCTTCAGGTGGCTCTGGGTTTCTTCTGTAATTACTGTCTTTATAGTTATACGCTTGGAGTGAAAACAGAAATTAAAAGAGCTCTGACTTGGTCTAACATGTAGGTTTTAAAAGATTCCAGTCTCCAAGTTCTTACTGTTTGATATATTCTTTAGTCTTGAGGACAAGGCCACAAAAGCATTCCTCGTGACAGCTGCCCTATGACAGGGAGCCCTTTAGAAGCTTAATTTCTTAATTTAAAAATTACATCCTTTAATTTCTGCCAGTATTGTGGCAAAACTTCCTTCACAAAGGGAGATTTTTTTTTTCTAGTGTGTTATGGAGCAATATACAGAATGTGAGATAACCTGGTGTGCATAGAGAAGTGAAATGAAATGGCTGGATTTCTTTTTTAATAGATTCAGCTTCCAGGGGCTTATTTTCATACAGCTTAACAAAAGCAACTACTAGTGCCTGCATATTTATGAAAATATTTCTACTGCATCAGAAAAACATTAATGTCTCTCATAGTGCCTTAATCCTTCCTCTCTGCTACCTCTTCCTATAGCATAAAAGATAATTCCCAAGGATCCTAAAATTCATTTTTAGAAGACATTGCCAATCTATTTATAATGACATTGTCTTTTACCACTAGGGTTTCAGTTTCCATGGTACACGCAATTCAAAGAGCCCACTCTTGAAAAGCCTGAAGTTACGGAGAACCAACAAAAGTACATATATGACAAAGGGAAAGTTCTGGTAGTCCTTCAGATGGGAATCAATGCTCATCTGTATGTCACTAAAACAGGCAACACAGAAAAACAAAACACTCACAACTTACCATTAAGCTGCATGTTTGTCATGAGAGTTAGGCTATGAAGCACAAGGCACCATGTCCGCAGTAAGGTATTGGGATACCATGCCAGAACCGACAGGAAGCTAGTTACTGAAGCTGTCAAGAAAAACATGTTTTTCCAAGCTTTCATCTTCAGGGTGTTAATGTAAATGTCTTATTTTTACTGCAAGGTGCTATATTTATTATTGTTATTAATATTATTATTTGTTGTATCTACTTTGTTTCGACAACTACTGTTCCAGGAAATTAGGAAAAGACACCTCAGCAAAACTTCACAGAACTCGCCCACAGAACTTTCTACAGTGTCCAGACCCTGACATCTCAGAGAAAATGCAAAGAAACTTCTGTTTGCAAAATGCTCTCATGAAAGTCAGCATAACAGGTTCAGGCATTAATGTTTTGGACTATCACCGCAAGATATCACAGATTTTTTTTAACTATACAGATTATCTTATAGAATAAAAAAACCAACAATTTGACATGTCTTTATACTACATTAGCAGACTGATGCCAAAAAGTAATAGGGCTTCCTCCCACACCAACTCCTTTGATAATAAAGAGATCACAGGATGGCATACAAGGAGAAGAAATTTGTCAGAGAAGTACGTACACGTAAACAGTTCACCTTTGACTAAGAAGTGTCTTTTAAAAAATCCTCTTGGCATTAATGATTAATTAAGAACCACACATTTTACTATTTAATTTCTGAGGACATTATGCAAATTCAAGGAACCATCTCTCAATAATATACTAGTTATACAGTTTTCATGTTAAGAAGACAATGAACCTAACAGCTCTTTAAGTACTTTGAGTACTTAAAAATAATTTTATCTTACACTTCCTGAAAATTCATTTCCCATATTTAGTGTACTTTACCTTGGTTCAAGGAAATGACAGGTATTCGGTTAGCGTTATAAAGGAAAATATCAGCGCCACTATCCTTACTTCCAGAGGAGCTAGAATTTAGGCTTAATGTGAGCCATAACTGTAAAAGGGATTCAAGCTGAAAAAAGGGAAAAAAACAACTATCAGATCAAACTCAAGTGTTTTTCCATAACTCCAGAACATAAAAGGTTATCTGTTTTGATTTTAAATGCCTTATCTACATTAGCCGGTACTACTGTTTCACTGATAACATACACACACACACACACACACACACACACTCTCTGCATTTGAAGATTCTGATAAACCTAGTAGTCAAAGCTAATTCAGCATAACTAGCAAAGGCTTCTGCGATGTATTTGTAATTGATTTATTCTAAATAGGGTTAAGCTTCTCTTAAGAAGTTTCCTCAAACTTATGTTAAAAAAAAGAAAACTAGCTTTACATACTGCTCAGAAATATAATCTTACATCTGTAACACTGGTTTGCATGTAAGCTTTTGGACTGTCTCAATACAGTCAAGTGATGTTTACCAGTCAAGCAAAATTTTTCAAAAGGCCCATTTAATTACTGAGAAACCTCCTTTACTATCAGAGAGACAGTGATGCTCACTCTAAATAACTCCCTTGAGGAAAATAGCTATTCAGATATTTTGGGAAAGCATCAAGGTCGTTTACCCCACAAAGGGGTATGGGATTTTGGATGAGATTTAAAGAATGATTGAGGGATGGAGTCAGCCACCCAATTAAAATACAAACAGGTAGGCAGGCACCTAACCACTCTTATCTAGCACACATGACATTCCTTTGCACCTATAAAGAAAAGCGTTGCTAAACCAACAACAATTTTGAAGGCGTACTTCTAATTTTAACATTTAGGATCACTGGATAATTCAGGTTGGAAAGGACCTCTGGGGGTTATCCAGTCCAATCTTCTGCTCAAAGAAGGTCCAACTAAGACTGGGTTGCTCAGTGGTTTATCCAGCTGGGTTTTGAAAACCTCCGCAGCAGGGGGGACCACACACTTAGTGACACTCTTCACTAATAAGCTAACAATTATCTTTCAGTGAAGCTAGTATCTTGGTTTTAAATATGAAAATGTATACCCACTTTTTCACTGTAACAAGAAATCTCTTATTTGATAAAAGTTTTCAGCAGCTTGTCTATAACATGATCGGTACTGTTGTCTATGACAACTTTGTAAGTAATAAAGCACATAACAGGTTACTTGCATCCTAAGTAGTAAGAAATATAGGAAAGTGACCTCCAAATTTAGAGAGAAATACTATCAAAACATTTCATAATTCATAATTCTATACCTGAACATGGTGGACTTGTAGCATGGAAAAGAGTTTGTTGAAGCATGTGCTTAGCATAGGTATAGACGACAACTGTACAATCAACTGGCCATTTTGGTTAGCAGCATGTAATCCTCTTAGCAACGAATCATCTGTTCCACTAGGAGACTGGGTTACTAAAAAAACAACAAAAAAAGTACCAGTCCCCCATGAATTATTTTGTCCAAGTTGCTAAAAGTAATTTCATATTTATTTCCTTGTATTTTATACTTAATGGAAAGACATTTATTTTATAATTTACAAGAACATCTTCAATGTGGTGTTCAGCTGAGTTGGACTATTGACTACCATCCTGTGAAAAGCATACTTGAATGTCAGACATCTCCACCTTCTCCAAAAACTGTTTGGAAAGTGAGCCCACAGAAACACATTTTCACAGTTCTTGCCAAACATGTATTATAGAAGTGGCCTGGTAACACTATGAAAAGACAAACAACTGGAACATCTCTTTCATACATTGTGGTAAAACTACTTTAGACAATAATGAACTTCCAGAAAATAAAGTCTGAGCATGTCACAGAGCCTACTCCATCATCAGATATTCAACTAATGACTGCATGCATATTAAGGTACCCAGAGAGGTACAAAGAGGCACACCTTAACAAGATGGACAGTGCCACTTGCTGAAAATATGTTCAAAAGTACATCAGCACCATGACTGTTTTTATATCATAAAGCTTACTGAACAGTTGAGTTCAAAACTGTATTCAAATATTTTCACTCTGAAAAGGTGAAACTGTCAAGTACAAAGCAGCTTGCAGCAGCTGAAGTTTCACACTGAATGCAAGAATGAAGATTCACAAAAATAGGAGACTTAACATTCACTTTCACCTATATCAGAAAATGAAAACAATTCCTCCATTGTGTACTATTATGCACTATAAAAGGAATCCTCTATATTTGACCAATTTCACAAAATGTCTTAAATATATGTGTACACATAATTCAAAAATCTGAATAAAGAAATATCTAAAGCTCAGCCTAACACGAAAATTCAAGAGAAATACAAACTTCTTCTAAGCTGCTAAGTGACTGCAGAAAAAAATTAGTACAAATTTCAAAGCATCATGGTCATTATGTGAAGAGAAAGACTTGACAACATGTAGTTACATGTAGGAGATGTGTTTGTTAATGCTTGTAGAATGGAATCAGCCTCCAGGGTGGACATCATTTTCAGCATCAGCTCAGCCTGCTGTTCAAGTCCAACTTCTAGACGTGCATCTAAAGCTAGATAAGGCAACAAACAGGATAAAACTGAATTATATCAAAGACATATATAATTAGTTACTCTAACTTCCTGTGCAAGCAATACAGATACACAGTCCACATTAAACTGAAAAAAATCTAGTATTAACAGGAAGATTCACTTTTATACATGACAGAAACAGAACGTAGAAACTTAAAACTCCGAGCTAAACATAAGATTCTTACAGACCTGAAATATATAATTAATGAAATACTAAATTTCTGTGAAACATACATATTTCTTTTCACAGTCACTTTAATATCACACATGACTAAATCTGCCTATGTTTAAGCCTATTTTTTCCTAAGGTAATAGCTCTCAAACAAGAACCAAAAAGCTGTTTTTCTCCAGTGTGACAGGGGAAAGATCTATCACCCCAGTTCAGTAGTGCCCCTCTAAACTAAGCAAGTGTGCCACTTTATTCCTTAGGATAGAACCAACTATCCAAAATATCAGCCAACTACAAAAAAAGCTTCCAAAAGTCCCTGAGAAAACAGAAACGATTTAAAACTGCCTGTAAGTGTGTATACAAAAATGTTAGAAATATTTTTTTCTCCTATGTTAGGCTGTTTTAATATAAAACTCACATAACAGTCTTTCAGTTAACACAGAAAAACTGTGGCATATAGAAAATTTAATTCTTTCCACTTAGTGGATGTAGAGATTGTTAATATGATTTGAGATGCAAAAGTGTCAAATAGAGTATCACAGAAAAGAGACCCTGAATAGAACTTTAGCTCATTGCTTACCTTGAGAGACTGATACGCTCACAGTTTGTGATCCATTTTTCTCTGTAGTTACCGGTGGTTTTGCAACTGGAATTCCAACGCCTCCAATATAAGGATTGTAATTGTAGGTGCCATAATCAGCACCCCAGTAATCGTACCAGGTGCTGCTTATAGGCTTAAAAACAAACAGAACAACAAGAAATAAAATAAACTCTTTAGGCTGCTCAAGTACAAAAATAAAATTTGTAATGACTAACAACAAACACTGAAGGTACAAAAAATTGAAATCAGAAGATTGGATCCAGTGGCTTTAGAAAATTTTGTTTCAATTTTTATTGCAGTATAAGCTACTGAATCCTTAGTGATTGCCAAAGTCCAGCAATGTAGTTAGCTGTCTCAAAGATTCAGGAAGCCAATTTGAAAATGTTATCAGTTTTTATTCACACATTTGTACCATACTGTAAATTTGGAAGTAGAGTATCACACAGATATTTTGAGAAGTTATTTATCAAGACAGAATACTATATTATTAACTGTACTATTAAAGTACCTTCAAGCCTCAGTGAGGCTCAGGGATTATTTGTACTGGGCTCTGCAAAAGAAAAAGTTGAATAATCTCTACTTGGGTGTCATAATTTAAGACACTTACAAAGCATATGGATCACAAGAAAAAAAAAGTGATGTAAGACTGTATGAAGGCGATTTGTGTATGCTTATCTTTTTAATGGCAAGATCCAATATCAACTGTCATTTTACAGACACAGAAGAAAATCTTATGAAGGATTAAGAATGAAGAAGTGTTCCTCTGGCTGTTTGTTAGAGGACATGCAATCAGGCAATAAGATCATGATGATATCCGTGGATGAATTGGACTAAGAAGTACTGCCAAATGAAATAAAGAATAAAGGAGGAGGGAAACACCAGTAACATAAAAATTAAGTAATAAGTGGAATATTTTGGTAGGGTGAAATTGAAAGAAAAAAAATCTTTACATGATACGTAATCAGTGGAAGAACATATGAGGGAATATAGAAAAAAAGAAAACATAGTGTTGTCTGAGCAAGTGGTAAGAAAGACAATTTAGGTTAATTCAAATGAGGCTGAAGGTTTAAGTCGTGTTATCCTTATGGACAGAGAGAAGAGACTCAACATTTTATTATGAACAGTTGTGTTTCTTTACAATCATTTTTTTTTAATATACCTTGACAATGTACTGTTACATCTAAATGTAATTTTACTACCTTTGATATGTTTAGCTTCCGTTTTGTGTATGAATGCATTTAATAGTTTCCTTGTTCCACAGTGAAGTAAGTTTTGAAGTTAGTTGCTTCTCTTCATAGTGTGAAGCTGGTCTGAGCACAGGCTACTGCTGACTTTTTTTTTTTTAAAAACACAATACTAGCAGTTTTAACTCTTAAGATCACAGAAGCAAATGGCACTCTATTGTTAATAAAAATGAAAAGACCAGATCTTATTTTTCTTTCATATTACGATTTATTGTCTTTACTATGTTATAAACACCTTGTTTATATGCATCTCTTCATAGAAAAACAAGATGTTTTGTTGTCAACTAAGATACAAATACATCTGAGATGTGAACATAATCTTTACATTCTTTCCTGCCGTTCTACATAAAGCCTTAAAAAACTAAAAGCAAGTCTAAGACAACAAAAACCACTAATGAAGAAGAGAAAGGATTTTACTATTTCATACGTAAAGGTTATCCTGAAAACTCAAGTGTGTCATACCTTGAAGACTTTGGCCGCAAGAGGATCTTTTTCCAAATCAATATCCAAAGGATCAATATCAACTTCCATCAGGTCTTGCAGTAATTCAAGGTCAATGTCCTTATCTTTTTCCAAAGATGACAGAGGTGGAGCACCTTTGAATGAATAAAAGGGTATTAATACTACCAAGTATAAATTATAAAACATTAATATATCATACACTTAATGGATAATTTTAAGGCTTTTAATATTACAGCTCTTAGTGGAAAAATTAATGAATGCAATCAAGTTGACTTTTTAAAATAATGGTAAAAATAACCATTTTTTACCAATCAGATGTAAAACTAAGTTGAAGAATTGCTCATATTCTGCCTATACTTTCAGAAAGTAATTATTCTGTCACCAAAACTCCTTTATTGATATTTTGATAGATTAGTAACAGCAGAGTTTTTTGTTGAGTTTTTTGGGGGGGTTTTGGGGGGTTTGTTTGTTTGTTTTTTGTTGTTGTGTTTGGTTGTGTTTTTTTTTGTTTTGTTTTGTTTTTTTACTTTTTTCAGTACACACACATACGTCAAGATCGTGAAATAATTTACCTGTGATGTCATGTGTCAAAGGCTCATCTATTGTTTCCACTAACTGAACTGTGGACTGCTGGAGAGAGTCATCAGAATCCCCAGCCGAAGCTCCAGCATCTTCTCCCAAAGCACTTTCTTCCATAGCTTCAGCTGCTATAGGTGCCAACAACTCTCCTATGTATTAAGATTAAGCAGAAAACTGTTACTTAACATCCCAAGGTCTAGGCCAACTGTCTGTTTTTCTTCATCTAATTCTAAATTCTCTAAGGACTACTTCTTCAAGGGGAGTTGTTCTGAATACTTTTCAAATAATCAGGGTCATGTAAATATTAACTTTTCAATGCACAATTCAGCATTGACTGTAACTGCAATTTTGAATTGCATTTTATACACACTGATCTCAATTTTATGTGGTTTTTTGTTTGTTTGGGTTTTTTTTACTATGTTAATAGTGTCAGCAGCTTCTAATATAATAATTAAAAAAAACCCCTAAAACATTAAAGGAAGAAAGTTTCAAGTATAATGTACATTCTGAAAAATACAAACTTAAAACAAACCTGCTAGAATATCCTGCAGCATACAAGTCAGAGAATACTGAGCCCATGCGCCTCCCCAAGAGATGTCTCCTCTGTTAAAGTCAGTTCCAACAAGAAGCAGCAATAATCTTTCCAACTGAGTCTCGTTTACAATCTCACATAAATGAATTGTTGGTCTTGTAGCATTTGCAATTCTAGCAAGAACCTATTAAAAAAAAAGAAATATATGCCTACTCATATTTAACACTATGAAAATATGTAATAGCTTTAATTTCTATGATTATTAGATTTTGCTTACAAGTAAATCAGGTATTTTTACTAACTTAAATTTTAGAACTTTACAAGTGTAATTATATGAAAACAGTTTTTTAAAAGTTGCTTTTTCAATGCAATTTTGAAGTCATCATGTTGTTACTTACACAAAAGGTGACAGATCAGAAACACTACTTCACCAGAAACTGCTAGAAATTTTAATGCTGCAGCTAATTTCTACCATCAAACAAAAAAAAAAAAGCAAGCAGTAATGAAAGCTAATTTAATGCAGTCTCCATTGCAACTACAGAGTGATGACACTGAGCTACAGATGTCATCTATCTGGACTTTTGTAATGCCTTTGACATGGTCCCCTAAACATCCTTCTCTCTAAACTGGAGAGATATGGATTTGATGGATGGACTGTCAGGAGGATGAGGAATTGGTTGGATGGTCACAACCAGAGGGTAGCTGTCCATGGCTCAATGTCCAGATGAGATCGTTGATGAGTGGTGTCCCTCAGGGGTCCGTATTGGGACCAATACTCTTTAATATCTTCATCAGTGATATAGACAGTGGGATTGAGTTCACCCTCAGCAAGTCTGCAGATGACACCAAGCTGAGTGGTGCAGTTGATATGCCCGAGGGATGGGATGCCATCCAGAGGGATCTGGACAAGCGCGAGGAATGTGCCCATGTGAACCCCGTAAGGTTCAACAAAGCCAAGTGCAGGGTCCTGCACATGGATCAGGGCAACCCCCGGTATCAGTACAGGCTGGGCGATGAAGGGATTGAGAGTAGTCCTGCCAAGGAGGACTTTGGGGTACTGGTGGATGAAAAGCTGGACATGAGCTGGCAACATGCGCTCACAGCCTAGAAGGCCAACCCTATCCTGGGACGCATCCAAAGAAGTGTGACCAGCAGGTTGAGGGAGGTGATTCTGCTCCTCTACTCCACTCTGGTGAGACCCCACCTGGAGTCCTGTGTCCAGCTCTAGAGCCCTCAGCAGAGAAAAGACATGGACTTCTTGGAGCAGGTCTACAGGAGGGCGACAAAAATGATCAGAGGGATGGAACATCACTCCTACAAGGAAAGGCTGAGAGAGTTGGGCTTGTTCAGGCTGGAGAAGAGAAGGCTCTGGGGACACCTTATAGCAGCCTTCCAGTACTTGAAGGGGGCTCATAAGAAAGATGGGGACAGACTGTTTATCAGGATCCCTAGCAGTAGGGCAAGGGGTAATAGTTTTAAACTAAAAGAGGGTGGATTTAGACTAGATATAAGGAAGAAATTTTTTACAATGAGGGGGGCAAAACCCTGGCACAGGTTGCCCAGAGAGGTGGTAGATGCCCCATCCCTGGAAACATTCAAGGCCAGGTTGGACGAGGCTCTGAACAACCTGATCTAGTTGAAGATGTCCCTCCTCACTGCAGGGGGGGGTGGGGTGGACTAGATGACTTTTGAAGGTCCCTTCCAACACAAATTTTTCTGTGATACTATCTTTACCTTACAAACAAAGAGAAGTAAATCTGCATGACAAGTGAAGTCCATGGACAAGAGAAAAAGTGCTAGCTTCTGCACTACAGAAATACAACGTTCATGTGCCAGCGTAAATGGAAGTGGTTCAATTTCCGGAGTTTCCTTTGTTGTTGATACTTCTGTATCTAAAGTAGAACGAGGCCATTCTGCAGTCCGACGTAAGCGTATTAAGTCCTTGAAGTGCTGCAAAAATTAAATTTGAAACAACAATTACATTTTAAAACTAACCTCTAAATCTCTTCCCAGTGAAAATCTGAGGGAGCAATTAACAGTAACTGTAAAATTAAAAAAAAAAGAAACAAAAGAAAATGAGAGTGTAAGAATATATGAGAATCTGGAATGGAATTAAGGCTTTATTGGCAGAAATTTGTTTCGGCAGCATGTTTTCTCAGATAACAGACTCATAACCAAATTATCTGGTTCCACACAAGTGCTAGTTAAACCTTTATGTTTGCCATGAAACATACTGAGAATACGTATTTTAGAAGTTTCTTTCGTATTTCCACACCTGCAGTAGGTCTATGGTTACCATGAAACAAACTGCATATAAAAATAGCCAATATGGAAATTTATCCTTAAAAGAATGCTGACTTTTCAGTTCTTCACATTAGATAAATCATGAATAATTTCTAACTTTCTTAATACTTCCAGGGTACAAAGTGTCCATTAGCCACCATAAATTGAACTAGTCTGATACTTGACCTTTACAACCTTTTTTGACAGAGCATTTACAAAGTCAGTGGAAGAAAGAAGATGCTTTTATTAATCCTCCCATCCACCAAGGGCACACATTTAGCAGCTCAGTTCATTTTATTAGCTACACAAGCAGTCTAAAATTAGATAACACAAACGCCTCTTACAATCTTACTTTAGTAGCTACTGAAGTAGACCAGATGAAGAACTATTTACTAACAGAAAGGTTTCAGCTTTCTCCTAAATGCAATAAATGTTTTAAGTTACTCACAGCTTGTCATAACTGAAAGTGTTTAGTACGCAAAGTAGTAAAAACTGCATGAAATGCAACTATCAAGTGTACAGTAATACCATAACTAGATGCTAATATACTGTAAAGGGAAAACTCTTTATTTCAACATGCTTTTTTGATGCAACATGGCTGTTATAAAGTGAAATGTAATAGCTGCACAGCATATTTCAGCCAGTGACTCATTTAAAGATGTCTCAGGGGGGCCACCAGTATAGTAGCCCCTTGATATAACCTGCTGGAATAAAGCAGAAAATAGTGCAGGAAAGAACAGCTCATGACAAGCAGAGTTAGTGAAAACTTAGGGCTTTATTTTTATGCTGCTGTTTAAATTTTGGTGTTGTGGTTGTTTGGGGTTTTTTTCCCCCATAATTACTGGAAGTTGTTGCAAGGTTTCCCTTTAGATTGCCCTTAAGGTCAAACATTCTATAATGTCTTTCCACAGGCTTACTTTCAGTCATCCTAACAGACAGTAGTAATTCTGGAACTAGAGAGTAAAAATTTGAAGACATACCTAAGTTCGGTAGCTAGAAAAATTTACACTTTTTTTTTTGTGTTCCCTGCAAAGTCAATGTTGTCATCTCCAGAAATCCCTAAATTTCAGCACCTCATCTCATAATCAAAATAGTTCTTCAGCTACCACATCCTCTCTCAGTATCTGGGTCTTACTCCAAGATGCCACAACTTACATGATAAGTACTTTTAGGAAGCTAAGAAGCTTCTGAGAAAGCTCAGAAAACATTCTCAAAAGTCGTATTCATTAATTCAGGGAGACAATCACTGGCATGCTATTTTCTGATTACTCAAACAGGATATCATCCAAAAGAGTATCGTGCATAAAAAAGCTAGCCATATAAAATATTACTTTACATTTCTATTGGCATACATTATCCAAACTTTAAAGATATGACTGGCATTCCTAAAGCTACAAGATTATTAGTGCTTTTGACAATGACTATCTAAAAAACCCCTGTAGAAGGACAAACTGTCTTTCACAGTACAGGACATCTCCAGATGGCTGCTGTTTTCAGCATCAGAATATACTTGATGGCAGCCATGAGGAAAACAACTTTTAAAAATAAGGTCAAGGTAGGACAAAAATGACTTTGCAGGACAAAGGACAAGAAGTCAGTTACAGTTTCAGCACATCATACCTTTGAAGTAGCCTGCTTTAGTTTTGCCTGTTCTACTAAAAGTTTGTATGATGATCCTTTGTTGCTTTGTATTTTCTCTTTTTCCATCTGTTCCACCAAAGCCTTCTGTTTTGCTTTTAATAAGTTAAGTTGCTAAAAGAAAATGTTAATAGGAAAAAATGAAAATTTAAGCAATAAGATGTTAAAAGGATCAGTATGTTCATATGATAGTACTCTTCAGTTCAAATTTTAATTTGAGCTTTTAAAACACAGTTTATATACAATCTTAACTAAGACACTGTAAGGGGCTGCTAGCAGACCCAGCACAGATGAAGTTTAAGAAACAGTATTTTTAAGGAGCTCAGGACATACATGCCTAGGGTCATAAAACCTGCATGGTTGCATTTAGAAATGAAATTTTTTTGTCTTAAGAACTAAAAACTTAAATCACAGCTTAGGTGCTTGCACTCAGATGTACCCAGATTTATCTAGAAAGTAAAATTATATTTATTATCCAATATGGGCCACAGAGTGCAATAGTACACTCCAACATCTGTTCTTCCAGCAGATCCCACGCCGCATGGTTTGAGATGAATGTCAAAGAAGTTAGGCAGCCTTTAGCTATAGAACCAGACGTATACGAAAGCAAAGCTGAATGAGTCCTAAGGCCAAAGCTGCTCTTTCAAGAAATGAGATACACTGTAAATGAGATATACTTCTGTAAAAATAGCTACTACCGTGCTGGAAGTCACCTGTTTATGATGCACAAGCTGTTTTCTGATCTTTCGGGAATACAGTCTATCTAGGCTACTGTTGCCTTTAGTAGATCTGCTCAGACTCTGAGTGTGAAGGCTATTATTTATAAAACTCCACTGGTTTCCTAATGGAAATAGAAAAAAAGGAGATATTAATCCATCTTAAACCTCACTTAACACCAGAGAAAAGCATTGCAGCAATGCTTAGCATCTCCATACACTAAAGAAACAAGGAAAATCTACTTTTTTAGTGTTATGCAACTATCACCACTGATGGTAATATTGCTGTGGACTTTTCAAATGCAGTGGTACCATCTTGTTTTCATTATTTTGAAAACATACCAGGAGGTAAGCAAGACTGTCCTAACTAAAAACACCTAAACAGCTTCCATAACACAAAAGCTTTACAGTTTTCATGTTCAGAAAAGATGCTCAAAGAAAACCAGAGCTAATCCACTTTAATAATAAAAATAAACAGACCAAACAATGCATTTAAAAGTGCTGGATACAAATACCATGGCAAGCACCAAAGCAGTTATGACGTCATACCGTTGCCCTTTCTTACAATACAAACTGTCTCAACATGGTGTACTCTCAATTACTAGGTCCCAGAGGATAATATACAGACAGGATAATATAACATATATTATATATATTATATGTGTAATATTATATAATATACAGACAGGATAATATAATATACACAGGATAATATACAGACTTTTATAAATTAAAATCTATCCTGTATTTTTCACTTGTAAAATAAAGGAAGAGGTCATATTTCTAAGGAGAGGAAGGGGACATAAAGAAGCAACAACAGTGCGAATAAAATTATCACAACATCTGTTTATAAAATCTCATTTTTCAAGTGAATTGAAAATACATTAAGTATTTGAACAGTTCCCAAACCAATACCCATTAAGCAAGTTTTGATAATAAGTGTTACATACCTGTCAAAAATCGTTCCCTCTCTTTTCCATTCAAAGGTTTCTTGGCCGTGGCTGCTTCATCTTCAACAGTAGCTACATAATCCAGTAGTCTGGACACCAGCATTACAACCCAGCTGATCATGGGAATGTCTAAAACTCCTTCAAAATAAATAGATTTGAGTGCCTTAGTAAAGTTTTGAAGCCATAACAAACTAGTTTTAAAGAAATCATAAAAAATATAAATGGCACACATTTTGCTAGGCCACAAAGATTCTTTTTTTTTTTTTTTTTTTTTAAAGATGAGGATAAGAGTCTAAGCATTCATAAATGAGGGAAGAAATCAAATATTCAGTACAGAACTGAGGTGCAAGAGAAAAATGTTATAGTTCTCTTAGTCTGATTAAATCAGAAGTCAAAAGATTCACCTCTATTGTTAAAGCTAAAAATTAAGCAGCATATTTTTTTTAAAAAAAGGTCAAAAACTAAAATTTCCTAAATACCAAATGCAGAATGACAGCTGCTTGCATTAAAGCACATAAATTAGATGTCTCAAATTCCATAGTGTGAAATTTGTCCATGACCCAGGGCTCCAACACGACAGTTTTAACTGTGCATCCAAGTAAATTCATCTTTACTCCTTTGTTAGTGTATTTTCACATAAACATTTGAATAAGATGCAGGAAAGCCAAGACTGAATTCGGACTAGATGAACCATGCTGGCGGCATTAATGACTGGCTATTGCCTATTTCAGTCTCACATGTTAAATGCAGTATTTTTGTATAGGTAGAAGGGAAAAAACCCATATTTTACACATCAAGCAAGAAAAATCTTTGTGTGCATGAGCAAATCTAAATGATCAGTTCTAAAGTGAACTCACGAGTGCTCAGTAAAGACCAGAAACCTACAATTAATGACCACTTAATCACAAGTCAGTATGCAAATGGCGTACTTTCATGTAACATCAATATAAGTTACCTGCACATTTTCACATCTGTGCGCTGTGCTGAGACACGTTTAACTACACTACACTTTTCATGCACTGACCTCAAAAAGCTTTAATTAACTCAAACTATTATTAATGACAGATCAAACAAGAAACAACTTGTCCAAAATCACATGGAGCTGCTGGCAGCCCAAGCAATAGGATGCAGGCCTTGACTGTTAACTCCAGTTTCGTGTCCACACTGGCAGAAAGCAGCCCACCCCACGCAGAGAGAACAGGAGGCCTCCCCGTAACAGGGCCTGAACAGGAACTGCAGACTACATTGCAAGAATAGAAGTGAGTAGCACTGGTGAGTGCTACACACCTTTTTGGTTGGCAGAATAAAAAGAAAGGAGCTTGCTGCGGAGTGAAGTATATATCTTTTCATACTTCTGTTTAAACAAGTGCATTTCTTTCCCTTTTATCTCTTTTTTTAAAAAAGAAAAATCAAAATTTTCAGCTTCTCTCCAAGTGTCTTTGCCCATTCCTTTTTTTTCCCCTCTTCTGCCTCAAAGTTTAAAAATTCTCTCTACTCAAAAAACTCACCTCTTGCTCTGAGTGTCCTTTACTTTCTAACTTTTTCCCTAATAAATTTTCACCCCTTTGACCCTCAGTTACGCGTGACAGCTCTCAAATAGGAATTTCTTCTGCTGTATCTGATGCTTCCACCACACATGATAATGCCCTAGTACTCACCTGTACTGTCCAGGAGGAAGGAAGCTGGAAGACCAGCAAATAAAGCTCTGAAGTATCAGTTACTTCTGCTTCCTAAAGTCCTCCGTGAGGACAACTAGTAAGGCAAGAGCTATGAAAGGAATTGGCAGCTGTGGGGAGAGTGCAAACAGAGGTAGAGGAGACGTAAGCTTGGGTTTGCCTCAAACTAGTTAGAGACTACAGCAGGATATGGCCATGATAGAGAAAGTACACGGCAGACCAATGGGAAGCAATAGGACAGCTTCTGACACCAGCTGTAGGCTTGTTTACCTCAGGAGACAAGGTAAAAAGTAAGGACAGAGTCTCAGCTGGCATTTATCAATTTCACAACGCTAAGAATTTTAAACAACATATCTTCTACAATGCTCTGCTACATGTACGTAACACATGAAGTAGCCTAGAGTTTGATGTTTTCAAAAGCAAGTTTTTTCTTTAAACTTAGAGTACTTAAGAAAACACTCAAAAGAAAATAAGGTTTGAAGAATATATTTTCAGCAATTTTTTTTAGGGTCAAAAAAAAAAAAGGTAATTTCCATGTGATGTAAAAAAAAAAAAAAAACCAACAAAAACAAAAACATGTAGTTTGCAGAAACTATGCAGATACACCTAAAAAACTTGTCTTCATAACTGCGTTTCACCTCAAAGACCTGAAACTTGTAAAGGATCTCATAAGCAAAAAGGGGCACTTTCCAAAACGCTAAATCCCAAAGTCATTCACTAGAGCTGTCTACACATTGGATGTTTCCCCCCATTTTGTTAGAACTGTAAAGATTCCTGGATGAATTAAAAGCAACCAAAAAGATTTTGCTCAGGTTTAAACATGGGGGTGGGAGGAGGAATCTCTTTTAGCACCTAAAGAACACGATGTTTCAGCACATTTTAAGAGACAACTGTGTTTTGGAAATATAGCAAATGGCAATTTATTCTTTTAATACACCAAAAATTGTGAGCTAGTCTCTCAATTTTCTAGCTTATAATGAATATGAAAATACAGTTTCCCAAATTAGAGGGCTACCTTCAGTTCTTCTGTGCACAGGTAAATGAGGTTGCAGTGGTGACAGCAGGTTATCCAGGAGATTAAGTAAACTTTCTAAAACACCACTGTTGCTAAGCGATCTTTGGCCAATGCAAGAAAGCAACATGAAGACCCTAAAAATAAAATTTACATATTTAAAATTTTATTTCTTTTTCAGATCCAGTAATATTCTGAAACACTCCTTATAGAACAATATTCCCCTATGCTTTCATCTGAGACACAAACAGATTGCTACAGAAAGCAGTACTGTGGCCCAGCAAGTGAACTGGATTTCACATTCTACTGCTGTAAAGATAATGTAGTATTTCAGGGGGAACATTTTCTCTTTCACCCTCAAGAGGTCAGCAGAGCATTCTACTTCGTACATCTGAAACGAGATTTCATCCGTTTTATTTCCTATTACATATGATATACTGAATAGCAGGGATAGAGTATTAAATCCATGTATTCTTATATCCTTGAATTAACTCATATTTAAAAATTATGAAAATATAAATGTTGCTGTCTAAAGAAGGCAGAAAGCCACAAAACAGCAAATATGTTTGATTAAAATAAAATGCTACTGTTTAGAACATCGAAGACCTCAATCAATATTGTGAAATAATCAACACATCTAACACTGAATGCTCAACTCTATGCTTCTTTGCTCTTATCTCAGAGAAATCTCTTGTATTAAATGCTAATAGTGTGCTTTCCAGTCTCAATCCAACTTCCAAATGCATTAGAAGAGCAGCTCTATGATGAGAGTGTATTTAAGCCTGATGAAGGAGGAGGCAATTTTTGACACTGGGGAGCAATCCTACTAGGTATGCAAAGATCTCCAAGTAAGGACAAATAGCAACTTATTGTGGTGCAAGCACCAAATAGGTGCAATAAATAACTGCAATCAGACAATTCTAATTTGCAGTGCTTTTGGGGACTATTTCTTAAATCAATGGAACAGATGGGTAAGTATCCTTGAGTTGCATTTTCTCAATTCCAATGTGAAATAATTCCATTGTTCATAACTTAAATGATCCACAGGTAATGTATCAATATAGACTTATACCTTACCTGTCTTGTGGGAATATAAGAAGTTGCTCTGAATTGTATAATTCCTGCAGTACGTTTGAGAGAAACTGACCCCACCATCTTTCTCCTCCACAGAGCTGAACAAGCAGAAGGCCAGTATGCAATCGTATCTTTGGGGTTCCACTGATACATAGGTGTTTAAATAATTCTTCACAAGCTTGAGCATGAAAAGTACTTTGCAGAACCACAGGAACAGAGTGCCCTTTTAAGAAAAGGGAACAAGCAACTATGTTTAAGGAGACAATGGCCTGAAAGCATAAGAGGAAAAGGTTTGCAGGAAGTTTTTTAAACTATTATGATTAGACTAATTGGCACAGGGGGGAAGGAGGAGGGATCACAAGGAGAGATGGTAATTTGCAGGTAATCCATACAGACCAGGCCATTTCGTCAAAACCAAATGAATTTCAATTTCATGTCAATGCAAATACCCCCATGGAATCTACACAAAGCAAAAACCAAACCATCATTATGCTTAAGAGCAAAGTGGCACAGAAAATTACAAGACAGACACTCGTTTCTATCAACAGAACAATATTCTGCCCTTTTTTTTCTTTTTTTCTGAAAAAACTACCACTTCTACTCAGATTTTTCAATTTGAATTCTCCAAGATCTCCTTCAATGGCAATTTTAGGAAATAAAAATCTTTACTGGATATTAAAAATAATTAACTGGGTAGAGATACTGGTTTTATGACCTCTTTTTCCCCCCACAGAAGCAATTTCTGCTTCCCCTCCCCACTTATAACTGCCTAAAATCCATCCAGTGTTACACAAGCTTCGATGCCCACAGATAGTTCCACAGGCTGATTCCACCTATGAAAACAACATCAGTATTCTGCCTGGGCAGTCTTTTGTTACTACGGCAAACTGAATCAGCCCACAGAAGGATCAGATGACTCTCTGAACAAAGGAATATGCAGCCAGTACTACAGAAAAGGCAGAAGGACCTCAACACCCTCTCCTATCTTTTTTGGGAGCAGGAAGTGGTCAGGTCAGATTGGTGCCGCTAATGAAACTTCACACTGTATGTTACCAGCTACTAAAATCATAGTAAACCATAGGTGAACAAAGTTTAAAAGCTTTATAGTGGGAAAGTACAGATCTAGAAATAGAAACACTTGCAAACTGTTTCTTCTAACATGACAAAAATATCAAAACCTCAAAAAATACTAACCATTGGAAGAATGAAGCAAACTAAGCAAAGTATCCAGTAAGTATCTAATGATAGTGCGTAACTGTTCTGTGGATGACATCTGAATCAACTCTTTTGGATCAGATTGCTCCTTCAGTGTTTTCCTGCTTGCACCTAAGGCTACTTTGAGCCTCTGAACAGCATGGTGAGCCAAGTTGAGTTGAAGCTGTAGCTGAATGCAGTCCTGGTAAGCAGAAAATACTCTGCTATCTTCTTCTACTGCCTTGTCTGGCTTTCGTAAAAAGTACTGGGCATTGTTGGCACTATTGAGTGGTGGCAGGTCAATACTCTGCAGGAGGATTTCTAACCGGTGACAGGCCAAATTGTACCTAAAGGGAAACATTCCAACACAATTCAATAGACATTAGCAAATTGCAATAGATTTGACAGTCACCCTGCCAGAAGTGGACTTCTGTTCCATTTTGAATGCACTGTTAAAACAGATATTGGAAAAAAATAAGAGCGTAGTCTTTGTTACTGCCATAAAGATATTCGCTATAACAACTCCACAACAAAGGCATCGTTTTCTTTGGTCTGAAGAACATCATGGGATGAAAAAAAATAAATCTATAACATTATGATATCCCAGTGTTTTAAGTTAAAATAACGAGTACACATTTTTTTTTCTTCTAACCTGCACTGTATGTCTTCTTGCAACGCAACCATCATTGCCAAATGTTGGTCGATTTCTGGCTGATTTGCAGCTTCACCTTCTCCTCTGAGGGGATCGTGCATTAGTTTCAGCTCATTTTCAAAGGGTAAGATATAGGTATGACCATAATAAAATCCTAATGGGATTTTTGCTCTGGCATTTGTGCTACCATATCGACCAATAACAGTGATCTGAAAGGGAACACAACTATACTGTAACACAATTGTATCAAAACAGGCAAAATAAATACAGAGTCAAAAATTAATAAAAAATTTATAGCCAGCTAAAGTTTAAGGAGAACTTAAGAGAAAGTTCACATACTAACAAAGATGAAGAGTTTAAAAGATACAAGTATGCAGTCTATCTGCTTTTACCTTCATAAACCTGCAAACTGGGGGTGGTAACAAGTCATGTAAAATAAGTGAATGTGTGCTAATGTCAGTAGCCACTACCAGTCGCCTCCCATCCACTTCTTCTCCTAAAGTCCAGATGTCAATTGACAAAGAAGCCAAATCTCCACAAGTGGGAATCAACACATCCGTCAGCAATATAGGTCTTCCAAAATCTAAGGTCACGAATCTTCTTGCTCCTAGCAGAAAAACAGAGGATTTCCTAAAATATCAGTGCATGCTAACAAGTGAAGAGATGGTACTTCTCAAACAATAAATCCATTGTCTATATATTGTTCGAAAGGTTAAAATTTAAAGGTTAATTTGGTTAATTAAAAGGATTAATCTGAGGTTAAAAACAGCTGCACAATCTCAGAATCTCTCACTACAGCTTGCATCCACTGAAAAGAAAAATCTGGCTTCAACTTAATTTGTTATGCTTTTTATGCATTATTTCAGAATAGGTGGGTGCTCTGTCCAGAGACCCAACATATTCCTCCAGCCCCCAGGATTTTTCAACTTGATAATCACCACTGAATGCTGGGTTTTAAACTTCCAGATACAACAGAAATGCAAATTGAGAAATATCTTTTCTTTCTAAAGCCAAGTGACGCTGCAGCTAAGCAACTTACGTAAGACCTTGGAAAATATTCTACTCCTCATTAGAAAATGTGTCAAAATTATTACTAGGAATTCTGGTTTTACCTGAGTGCATTCGCTCTATAATAATTGACTGATGAGGTGGAGGTTGAAGAAAATGTGAGGCGTGAGATATTGCAAGAGCAAGACCGGATCCAAGTGGATTCTGCAGAGTGAGAAAATATCAGTAAAAGTAAGTAATTAAAATCTATTCATTTATAATAAGCTGTTCTTTACAAAAGACTGTAAGATAACCTCTTGTGATTTAAAGATGTACAATTTTGACACCACCTCACTACATTTAAACTTGAGCATGAACCATCAAACCTTATCAACTACTGAGTTCAAAGTGTACAGTTAAGCTAGCTCCAATTAAAAGAAAACATGTACTATAACAACTCTACCTTACTTTCATAAGTCTTCCTTTTCATATGGTCTAAATTTAGTGATGTAGTTTTCACATCTCATCCAAATAACCAGATATTTACTAGCACTCAAGTACAAATTAGATCCTGATAAGGCTTACAGCATCTTGTTTCTATATGGAAAAAAACCCAAAAATTACCGTTCTGGACTTGCTTGTATTTTTGTTATGTGCTGCAAGGTTAACTGCTGGAGGATCAATGACTGAACCAGGGAAAAGCTGAGCAAGCTCTGCATTAATAACAGCAGAAACTGCCTCATTAGGTGGAGTCAAAGGTGGAGTCATGAATAGAGGAGTTGTTTTTGGTGTGGGTGGAATGACATCTGAAGGATGGATGAAGAACCCTGGGGCTGCTACTGGATTAGAAGGCACAGAGTTGTGAACAGGACCAACTGCTGATGCTGCTGCTGCTGCCGCTGCTGTTGTCTGATGCAGTTTTGCTTCCAGCTTAGCCTTCTGTGGGGAAAATGAAAGCAGTGTATGTAGCAGATAATACTGCTTGTGAACACAGCAGTAGTATCGAACTACAAGCTCAACTTTCATTATAAAATTAGATTTAGTAAATCCAAGCTACTTTCAACACAGGCATGTCATCTGTCCAACTTTAAGCTGAAAAATAAAACTCTACTCAATGTGACCTCACTTTGTAATTGGCGTAATCAAAAAATAGTAAAAACCCTACAACTGAACAGCAAAGTAGAGTCAACACAGCCAAGCTTCATACTGACAATGGCTTTATGACTGGTAATTCTCTGTGCCAGCAACTGTGCTGTTCATTTCAGTGGGCTTTTTCAATTTCAGACCAATATACTTATGTATTAAAACAGTTTTGATTACAAATTCCCAACCCACCCTCAAAATACACAAAAACCAAGTCTGAAAGACCAAAGCAGCATGGGAGACACTCAGCATTTTGCTTAATAAGAGTGACCCTCAGTACAGAGCTGTTCCTTCCTCAAATACACTATGGAGACAAAAAGGAAAAAAAAACAGAACAGGTGACTAGCTCTCCAACTCTTTTCTCAGCTTTTGAAGTTTAGAGACAGCATTAAAAAATAGCCAAATAGCCTCCAACCTGTTGCTGAAGCTTCAAAAGCTGCTGCTGTTTCTCTTGCAGCACCTGGAGCTGTTGCTCGGCTGAGGCCATTGCATGAGAGAGAGACTGCAAAGCTACCTGGGCTGCTGAACTCAGTGCTGTCGAGGCTTCCCCAACCGTTCCAGAAGAGAGGCCACCAACTGCTGGGGTAACCCCAAAGGTACTCACTGGCATGAAACAAACGAACAAAAAAACCCAAACAAAACAAAAACATGTATGTAGGAAAGAAATTATAAAACACACCTTAAATTTAATTCCTTACTAATTGTTAAGAGCAATGTAAAAACAAGCGAAATATCTCCTTGTGTCCAGTTCTTGCTACAAAGTAACATCAACTTGAATTACTAAGTATATGGTTTATCAGATACTATAAAGTTATTTGTAGTATATGTGTATTATAATTATAGTATATACTGTGTTTACAGAAGAGCCACCTAATGCCCTTGAATTCTTTCGCCACATAAGGCTGCAAGGTAAAGATGCAAGCTTGTATGTTATGCTCTCTGATAGAAACAAATTGAACCAAATGAATAAACTTGGAATCCAGTTTCTTTGCTAAGCTCTAAGAAGTTTAACTTCACATATAGTAGCCATTAAAAAAAAATTTTCAACACTTATAAAACTACAGGCGATGTGTTTGTCAAACAGTGCTCATTACATCCAATTAAAAAATCGTATCGTGGAACTATGCTAAGTAGAAAAAAATGAAAAATTGTATATACCAGTAAACGTACTTGCATCGTCCCTTTCTATTCTAGTCCCATCACTTGTTGAAACACAGGTAAAGTGCAGAGGTTCAACTTCCAGAAGTCCAGTAAGGGAAGTAAAACTACCTTCAGCAGCTGCACAGCTACTTATTTTCCCATTTCCTGAAAGAGAAATAAATATCTGCCCAATCAGCTGATGTTTTACTGTTAGCGACGTTTCAAGTCATGAAGAGTTGAAAGAGACAACTAAATATAATCCACATATTTTATTACTTCACATTGTGGAACAAAAACCTTAACACTATGTCCTGGTTTCAGCCAGGATAGAGTTAATTTTCTTCACAGAAGCTAGTGTGAGGCTATGTTTTGGATTTGGGATGAGAAAATGTTAATAACATGCTGATGTTTTGAGTTGTTGCTGAGCAGTCAAGGACTGTCCAGCTCCTCATGCCGCCTGCCAGCGAGGGGGCTGGGGGTGCCCAGGGAGCTGGGAGGGGGCACAGCCAAGACAGCTGGCCCAGGCTGGCCAAAGGGATATTCCATACCATATAATGTCATGCTCAGTATATAAAGCTGGGCGAAGAAGAAGGAAGGGGTGGAGGGACATTCAGAGTGATGGTGTCTGTCTTCCCAAGAAACCAAACTCATTGATGGAGCCCTGCTTCCCCGGAGATGGCTGAGCACCTGCCTGCCTGTGGGAAGCAGTGAATGAATTCCTTGTTTTGCTTTACCTATTAAAGTGTCTTTATCTCAAACCATGAGTTTCCTCACTTTTACTCTTCCAATTCTCTCTCCCATCCCACCATGGGGGAGTGACCAAGAGGCTGCGTGGTACTTAGTTGCTGGCTGGGGCTAAACCACAACACACTATCACATCCACAATATAAATGGAAGCATATTTTAAAATGGGTAATGCTGCCAAATCTGAAGAGAGTATCTTAAGTCAAACTGTCAAATGTGACAGCAGAAGCATAGTGTAACCTTCTAAATTACAGAAATAAATTATATGTGGATGCTCTATTCTTTCTACACTGTGAGAAAATTAACTTGCAAAAATACATTGATGTTACTGGAAAAGAAGAGAAAGAAAGTAACAGACCCACTAAGATCATACACCACGCTAGTATAAAAACTAGATTATTCAATATACTAACAAATTCAATGTTGTATGGCGGGGAGGGATGGGAAGGAGATGGACAAGAGCATAGAAGAAAAGGGAAGCAGTCACTGTAACTGATGAATATGCTTGCTACGAAAAGAATTTCCTGACAGGTAAAAATTGTCTCATTCTTAGGACATTCCATGGCCTAAAGATTCACTTCTGAACTAACCTGAGAGGATAGATACAAATATGCTTTTAAGGTATTTTAATACCTCTGAAACAGGAAAAAAAAAAATCTCATTAAAGCTGTAATATTTAAGTAGAGGACTGCCATATGGCAGCTTCCCAACTTCAGAAAAATCCGTTTAGGTTTCTCTGCCTATGAGGTAGTCACTAGCCTAAATGAGTAATATCTCAAAGACACTGCTCAATAGACAGATGCTTCCTAGATGACTGACCCAAGGAATGATAGCACCCTTTCCGTTTAATCTCTAGCCTTTTCTTAGATCTTCTACAGGATAAGAAAAGAAGAGATTCCATAAAGAGGATTTTTTCTTGCCCTAAGGGCTACAGGAACTGTAACAGATCTCACAATGCGAGAGAATATTTTGAACTTCATTATGTACAGCTATAAAACAGATGGAAAGTATAAAACCACATCTTCGCTAAAGGAACACAGTATAATAGGGAGAATAACGAATTCTTCCACAATAGATTTCTGTTAAACATACGTACCTGATAGAACATCAGATAAATCAATTTCATCTGACTGTACTCCAATGCTGCTGTTGTATACATTTTTACAAGAAGAACCACTTATTTCCAAATCAAATAGAACTGGATCAAAAGGTGAACTATATAATCCATATCTGCAAATGGAATAAGACAAACAGCACTATTCAAACAAAAAGAATGTATATAAAATTATTTACAGAAAAAGGCCAAGTATTTCACCATCAGGTTCCAAGCTATTCTTTTCATTCAACTGACATATCTTAGAAATTACCAATTACTTACTTGCATTACTACAGTAAGTTACTAGATCCAAGTCATTTATTAGGTGACCTTTTTAAACAGCTTTTGATGCTAAATAAGTAACTCTTTGCTACTAAGTAGTTTTGAAGATACAATACTGTCCTGGAAACATGATGCACAATCACAGTCAGACATGGAAGCTAAAACTACAAGCCTTAGACAATTAGCCACAGCAATACGCATGCCTGCACATGGTAAATCAGACATTTATCTGAAGTCAATAAAAACACAGTACTGTTCTTGTTCTTCCAGCTGAAGTAAGAAGAAAAAAGGAAATGCTGGTAGGGGTACCAACCAGCACTTGAGAGTACTTTAAATATCTCAACAGAAGAAAATCCCATTACTCCTACTCTGGCAGTACTGCAGGGGGGAAAAAAAAAAAATACAATCACTCAGGTAACAAGGCGGTCCCAAATCAAGTAGTTTTTATAAGCCAAGAAAAAAGAAAATCCAAACTAATAACAAAAGCAGTGTTGGTTCTTTTGTGTACCAATACCTATTAGCAGCAACTAACAAGAGGAGAAAAATATGGAAAATCAGACCAAAATATTACGCAGGAGTAGAAAGAAAGAATGCATCTGTGTAGGTACAAAAGTGAGAAACACGTAAAACTTCGTGCTTTGACTGAGAAGAGCCAGAACAAATAAGAAATATTTCCGTGGACACACTAGCAGCAACAGGAAGTTCCTCCAACACCCTTTTCCCTCTGCTTCTGAGCAGCTTCTCTGTTCTTCAGTAGAAGAGGAAAGAAGTGATGAGAAGGTAATGCTGAGAAATAGTAATGCTGAGAAGGCTGGAGTGTTTAAATGTCTTTTTTGATCCAGTAGTCACAAAAGGATACATGTCTACATGAATACTACAACACCAGCAACAAAGTAGAACAGGTTCTAGACTTCTCTGAAAGTTAAAAAGCTTCCACGTTGGCTGGGCTTAGTGCTTTTTGCCACACAATGCTAAGACTGTAACTAGTCAGAAAATGATGTTATACAAAAGGGCAATAATTGCTATTGATCTTCAAGAAAAAGAAAAAAAGGAGAGAGGAAGGAAAATCTGAGAATTACAGACCAACCCATTTCACATACATTCCCCAACCAAGTTATTTACAAGCTCATACAAGGTAGCAAATTTAAGATGATAACTTTTTACTAAGAACAACATATATTAGATGAATCTAGGTTGCTCTCTACAAGCATGCACTACACAGAAATAGTGCATAGCGCACATCTACCAAGAATGACATGTTTGCTGCATGACCTTTTCTGATAAGCAAAGCAAGACAGCATGCTACTGTAAAGTGGTTACTAAAACCCACAAAAATGCTCAAAATTCAACAGGGTACCTTCACACCCTGTTTTAGACTTAAGACTTACAAACTCAATAAATTAGGTCAGCTGAACATTAACACTGATTACTTGCATGATAAGTGAAGAGTTCGATTTCTTAAGTAAGCAGGTGATAAAACCTAAAGAGGGTTTACAAGAGCTTTGTAGAACATGATCAGAATTTGAATGTATTGCAGACAGTTAAATATATTCTGTCCAACCCAGATTTATTTCAATATGCATATTGCCGTTTACTGATACTTCAGCAGAAATGATCAGGTTCACAGTTTTAAACTGCATTAGCAAGACTTTTCAGAAAAGGAGGTAGAAATCACATAAACAAAAAACAAATCAACAATGTCACATAAAAAACACATCACCCTATTCATCTATGCAGTAATGAATATAAACTATGTGAAATACCTCTTCTGCTTCGCTCAGAGATCTCAACTGGAATAATGTTTACTATTTTGTGTACCACAATTCAAGGAAGATGAGGATCAAAGAAAACAGCTCAAGGAAATGCTTGAATGACTACAGATCTGGAGAATGCAATTAAGATGCAGACATCTTCTAGACATTCAATTGTTAAGAATGAAATAATCTGCTCTCTATCCCCAAGGTGGACAGGACACAACCATTAAAAGGCTTTAGTTGCAGCAGGAGAGATACCAGATTAGATGTGGGCAGAAGGAGACAGTTCAAGTGTTAACGACAAGAATAATTAAGCCACGTAATAGCTTACAATATTTAGAATAATTAAATTCCATCACTATTTTAATAAGGTGCTTTCAAGAATAGGGTGGAGAATCAGACTTGCTAGAGACAAACTAACCTGCCTTGGTACAGGACAGCCGGAAATACTGTCTGAAATACAGTTCAGAGAACAACAAAAAAGGTAAGTCATGTAAGAACTCATCTGGCCTTATCCTTGAAAGTTTTACTTGGTTTACTGTGGGACTTGATAGTAAAATGAGTACTACTCTGCCTTAAGACAACATGAAAGTGCAGATCTTTTAAGTAGACATCTGCTTTTATTTGAGCAACCTGGTCTAGTGGAATGTGTCACTGCCCATGGGAGTGGGGTTGGAACTAGATGATCTTTAAGGTCCCTTCCAATCCAAACCATTCTATGATGATGATAATGATGATGATTACCAAATGTTAGGCTATTGTACATAGAAATAATGATAAAGAAGAAAAGAACCAATACCAGAAACCCTGCAACACAAATGCACACAAATACAACTCAGGGAGAGGGAAGAGAAAAAGAGTAAAGCAATGTCTGCCTACTAACTTCTCTTAAAAAAAAATAATGAAATTAATACTTATCCTCTACATTTAAAAAAAAAAAGAAATGACAGTATTCCCTTTATCTGTAGACATATAAAGGAAAGGCCAGTAAATTCTGTCTAAATTAGTAAATTAAGTCAAGAAATAGTCAGTCCTTGCTAGAGAGAAAGCACTATAGTAATCAAATATGGGATTAGTCAGAGGTGTCTGCTGCTATTCTTATCTTAACTATGGGGATACAGAGTTAAAAGAGAAACCAAATTTAGTTCCAAGAAGAAAATCAGTAAAACACATCTAGAAATATCCAGAAAACCTAAGCTTGAAGGATGCCAAGAACAAGGGCTCACTTCAGAAAGCTTCCCTTGAGATGCAGACAGCTGTGTTCACCATTAAGTGATCTGAAATGTCAGATGACACGTGCCAAATTCAAAAGTGGGCAACTGGAAAGGAGAAAACCCTTCTATTTCAGATATGCTGTTTAAAGGAGGTACTTGGAAACAATCTGTATGAAGGAACAAGTCAACTCGTACAGAAAGGTGCCATTCTCACTTCAAGTGGAATTTTCATGTTTTTCTCCTCTATTTGGTTTCTAAAGAAAATTCAACATGAAAACACAAAACCTTTTATTTTTCCAGTTCACTTTGTGTCTTTTTCAAAATTCTCCATTATCCAGTCACCATTTCTATTGCTGGAATAAGTCTTCTAATCAACTGCAAGGATTACAGATGGTGCAATAAAATAACAACTGAGAAAAGGAATGTAGTAGAGAGCATAAGGATCCAAGTATAAGACCTGAGAACAAGTTTTCATCAAATATTTTGGGATTATAGTCCTTTAAAGAAAAAAAAACACACCAAAAAAACCATAACAAACATTCCCTCCCCTCCAAACTTAGCTTACTAAATTTTCAATCTGATCTGAAGATTCTGAATTAACCTCTACCAAACCTCTTCTACCTTGATCTTGCCTGACTTCGAGGGAAACTCTTGCCCACAAATCACAACTGAAAGAGCTGTCTAACAGCAGCATGTTCCCATCATCATAATATGGCTTTGGAAACTGCTACAGAACTGAACCACCAGAGATTTCCTTTAGGTATCACATAAACCCAAAGTTAAACGGACAATCAGTTCAGTATGTAAAAGATGCAACATCACAGTCTCAACTTGCATTGATATATCATTTATAATAAGAACCTACGTTCCCAGTAAATTACTCCAGGCCTCTACACTTTAAATCTGGCTTTTAGTAGCAATACATTAAATGTATGGTCAGCTTACAGAGAGACTACGATTTTGTGTAGCATTATGCAGAACTGAAACTATTCAGTATATTTGATTCCCTCTCATATTCAAAAAATCGGACATGCTTTGTTAATCCTTACACTAAAAATCATAAATACTAACTTAAGAACTGCAGACTTCAAACTTTACATACACATTTGCGGATTTAAATTGCACTGTGAATTAAATTCACCTTTAATTTTGCACAAGTCAAAACTGTTTTCCAGAGCTGTATCAAACTAATCCTTGCTCAAACAAATACAGTAAAATGCATTTTAAACATTAAGTTTACTACTTAATAAATTAATATATACTAAATAAAATTAATAAACATATTAAGTTTACAACAGCCACATTTCTTAGTACCTTGTTTGAAGTAATGCTTCCATAGGTGTCAGGCGATCCTGCAACTGTCGGGACACAGCAGTTAGCAACGATGCACAAGCTGTACTACATCCTGCCAGATCTTCATCCTTTACGTAATTCAGCAATACAAAATACCAATACACAGATCCTGCATAAAAATAAAATAATAATTTCAGGTGAAACATGACATGAATTTTCTTGAAGGACTAATTTTCTTTGCAGTCATACTCGAAAACATTTTTTCTCAACAGAAGATCTTTCAGATCTTGTTGCTTTATAAATTCAATGTTAAACAGTAACAAACACAGATACAATTCAGACTGCATGTAAAAAGCATACTTCGAAGTATAATTGATGGAAGTGCTAAATGAAGTATCTAATGGTTACTGAATACAGACTAGGAAGCATTCTCCCTCCGCTTTCTTTGAAAGAGTTCGATTTAGAATCATAATATTAGTTTCCACAAGTACTTCAAATTCTCTTACCAACTAATTCATAATTGAAGAAAAAAAGGTTCCTAACAGACAGCTTCACACATACTTCTTTCATTGCTTCTGCCCACTGCTTCTACTAAGCACAACAATCAAAATGCTCTTGATACACTAAGGCGCTAGGCTAGGGGTTCCAACGCTTTCAGAGCCAAGCCTTACTCTGGATTCAACTCTTCCTCTCTTATTCTCAGTTTTTGGCTGCTGTCCCCTTATTCTGTATTTGCTGGAGGCACTGTTTCCTTATAGATCAGTTCTGGGAGCACAGTGCAGTCGTTCTGTATGGAAACACAAACCTCAGCTTCTTCCAACTGTGCATTCCATATCCTGAATAGCAGCCTGTTAAATGTTTCTACCTGGGCAGTAGCACAACAAACATTTTGGACTGCAAACTATCTTTCCTGCAAGACCCCTTAGTGATGCCAAGCAAGATGTGATTCAACAGCATACTGTGAAAAACACAAAGCAGGTCTTGCCATCCCAAACACAAGTGCTAAAGTCATCGTCACATTCTATCTGGCACTCAAAAGGTTTCAACAAGCTGCTAAGATATCATAACACTGCAATGTAGATGAGGAAGGAATTTAATTTAGTTAAAAACTTCCTTTCGGTGCAGAAGTAACAAGTGGATTGCTCGTTGGATATCATTTGGATAGCCAGGCTCCTTGGAATAAACCTAATTCTCAGAAATAACAGACAATTCTGACTCTCACTTATGTCAACAGAATCTGTGAGTGCTGAACACCTTTGAAAATTCTTGCAAAACTTAACGTCTCCCAGAAATGTCAATGCCTTAGCACCCTCTTTTAAGCTAAATTGCTTAAAATTCCATCATCTACAAATGCATACTTTATACTTGGGTACCACCTGACCAGACCACTCCAAGCAGCAGTTTGTACTAACTGAACAATTACCTAATTCTTAACTCACAGGAGTCTCCAACAAAACATGGCAAACAACAAATGCACTGTGTATTTTTATGACAACAAACATTGTATACATACCACCTGTTGCAGCTGCAGGCAAAAGAGGCATATTGTCAAGTAAAGCTTTTAGAAGAACTGATCCAAACCCCTGCTGACTTGGGTCACACCTGCCATTGCTACAAAAAAAAAAACAAACAACCACAAACAAAACCAAACCACCACATAGGCACTTTAACATTTAATGAAGTAAGAACAAAACATGACATCTCCTCCAGAAGCTGAAGTTGAAGGGCTAATGTTCTTTGCAGTCATATTCTAAAACATTTTTTCTCAACAGAAGATCTTCCAGATCTTGTTGCTTTATAAATTAAATGTTAAACAGTAACAAACACATATACAATTCAGACTGCATGTAAAAAGCCCAAGTATATATAAAATATAAATATATACCAATAAATAGATAAATAATTAGCACTGACCTGATGCATAGAGCAAGAAATCGTGCACATTTGTGAGCTATGCTCCGCCCAGCTTCAAAGAAGCAAACGCGTATTATATCAGGGACACATTTACGTGTTTTAGAAAGCAAACTGTCATTTCCTTCCTTTGAGCTGTAAAAACAAGTTGCATACTTTAGAGAATCATATAAAACTTGAATTTTTTAACAGAGCTGATACTAAGAAACAGCCATTCTGATTTAAACACAATTTCTCTCTTACCTGCCAGGTCCATTTGAATACACTCCGGCCAGCCAACAAAGAGTGTCTAGTACAAGACTCTGAGCATGTTCTGTAGTCAGACCATCATCTGTCTTCTTGCAAAGAGTAGTGAGCAGCTTCTCATGGAACTCTGAAAACTGTAACATGGCACACCGTTGAACTCTGGAGAGGAGGGGAGGGAAATAAAAAACAGAATTATCCAATATGGCCATTCTCCCATTAAAGCATCCCTGCAGCTTTGTATCCTGTGTTAGGAGCAGTGAAAAAGAACATGCCTAGATGAGAGTAAAACTAGCACACAAGCATATATGCTACTTTCTGTGCACACATTCCCAATCTTCCTATTTCCTGCTCACAGAACTTCCTAGGTTACTGTATACTTAGGAACCTTCAGAGATTTTTTTTTTTTCCCTGTTACCTCATCTAATAACTTTGAAACCTAAACAAACTTTCACCATCTACAACACTCTTTGGCAACCATTTGCACATACCTCTTCACAGCCTCTTTGACCTCTTTAACCACATTACAGCGCCACCGTTGTGGCATGACGGTAATACAAATTAAATGCTATATTATTCATATTTAGGTCTGTAGTACCAATCCATAGGGACTTTAACCAGTTTTCTGAGAAACAATTTGTTAGTTAGATTTGATTCTAAATTTTTTGACAAGTAATATAGTCTCTGCTGTAAGAAACAAGACATGTGGAAATAGAAAGGCAAGATGCTTCCCTTAAAAAAAAAATCTGTCCAAATTATTTATCTGATTTACTAAGAAAACTTACTTACATTTGCCTTTTCAAGTTGAGGTAAATAATCACTCAACATACAATGTCATGCCTGATGTTATCCTACCACAACTTGCACAGCACAGTGCCCTCAAACTCACAATTTACAGCATTTTCCATATGAAATATATTTATGAAATGACACCCTGAAACAGTGGTTTGACCTGAGCTATTTTGAGGACTAAGTATTTTTTGAGAAGTATAACTAAAGCTAATAGTTTTTAGAATTAAAAAACACCTACTAACCTTTCCTTTGAAATGGAAGTTTTTTTAAATCTTCGAATCGTTACAGAGACTTCTTGAAGTAAGTCACAGCCTCTCAGATTATCTGATTTTCTTGAAGAATTAGTGGCTTCAATTTTGCTAGATGGCTTTTCCTGATTTTTTTTTTTTTGAGGGGGTGAAAAAAGAAGAAAAGATTTCATAAATCACGTTGGTTTTGACTGCTTCATTTGTATACCTTGTTCAATGAAATACATACAGGTCAGTAAAATCTCTCACTCAATTTGAGCATTGTGCTAAAACAGACTACTTTTATTCACTAATGTCTTATGTTCTAACCATTCTAATAATGCCCACAAATGTACATCATATCATCCAATCTTACAACTACAATGATAAAAAATAAAATACACACACAAAAGTCTTCCTAAGAGGATGAGGTGTATCAGCTACTGAAAACACGCAGGGAAACCAAAGTTTCAAAAACAAGTGCTCAGAATAGGAAAGTCGCAGAACAGACCTTTTCAACTAAATTTGCATAGAAGAAACAACTTATAGATGTTGAACTCAGATTCTTGAAGGTGTTAATACAGTGTCAACTCTCTAAAAAGAGTAATTTTTAATGGATTTTAATTCTCCAAATAGCTGTTTCATATTCAGGTTACATAAATCATACCAGTTCTACAACTTTAACACAGATGTCTGTCTTGGCTATTCATTACCTTGCCTGCTGCAACTTTTGCCAACAATGAAGCAAGGGAATGGCCCTTGTTAGTCTGAGGTTTTAGAGATGGTATTCTAACAACTGGTCTAATGCCACCATTGCAGATTTCTTCTGTTCCTCTGTCATTCACTGCTTTAACATGAATTAAAAATGAGCGATACTTGCCACCAGCCATGCCTAAAAGTGGAAAAAAAAAAAAGAGGTTGCATGGTTTACTAGAACAAGTTGTAAACACATTTCAACTTCACAGATAAATGTACAAGCAGAGCTCAACTGCAATAATTACAGTACTTTAGCATCAGTTTGAAAAGGTCACTCGCTATTGGGTTATACAGCAAAATTTGTCAGTGTGAACATAAATACAAACCAAAGTCTGACTACAGAAGTATGAGACGTGCTTTAGTCACACATACTTCATGTGAATAGCATAATAAACCCGTTTACCTTTAACAAGCTTTGGACTTGTTAGTGTCAACATTCCAGCATGTCCTGATAGATCAAGTCCAGTAGCCAGCCATACTGGACCACAAAGTATATCTTCCTTGTGTTCCTCCAGAAACGGACACAATCTAAGACCTTAAAAAACATGAGTAACATGGACCTGAATTACTCATAAATAAGTCACAAAATCTGATCATTTGCATGGGTTAAAAAATACACCATGTCAAACTCTGATCACTAAATACATTTAAACTCTACATCAGAAAACTAACAATTACTTGATGTTCACTTTAAGCCATATTCCAGTGAAATCAATAAAGGTAAATGACTGTTTTCAAAGCATTTTCAGTTATATTATATGGATAATATGTACGTTGACTGGCTCAGAATCACAAAATATAAAACCGGTAAAATGTTGTATCAATGTATTTTGATCCACAACTCTCACTGGGTCTTTTCTGAAGCAGGACAGAACAGTTAAAACAAAAACAAAAAAACCCAAAAAATCCACAAAAAAACAAGCAAAACTCAAAACAAAACCTAATTTGTTTTTCCTGTGGTATATTGAAATTGCTGAAATTATCATTCACTCATCTTCTGCTTCTTTCTCAGCTTGAAAAAAATCCTTCCAGCACTTTTTCTTTTATTACTCCTTTGATCCCTCCCCTGCATCCTTTCTTGTAGTCATAGAATCACAGAATAGTTTGGGTTGGAAGGAACCTTTAAAGTCACACTCTATATAAGCCTGATCACACGAAAGGAAAGAAAGTGTAAAGTAAGACTGTTGAAAGAACCAAAAATCATAGTTCTGGAACTGATTCACTCAACTATCAATTTTTAGTCTGTAGCTCTCCTCACTTGGATCCAACCCAACAGATTTGGTTGAAGAGTACTGGTTAATAAAAAGGTTATAAAAACAGGCACAGCAAGCCCAATACAGCTGAAAACTATGACTAGTTATGAATTCTTTACCAGTTGTTTATTTTTCTCCGTTTACAGCAGCAATCTCTACAAAAGTCAGGTATGCAAAGGAAAATTCTATTAAAACTAGCGAAGGAAACCAAGTAAAATACTGCTGGAACAGGGTAAGAGTTTAAGTTACCAAGGTGCCGTATCAGTCTACTTTCTTTCTAAATTCAAATAAATACTAATCTGCTTTTAAGCACCAAAACTCTCCAGTACTTCATTTTTTTTGGTGTGTTTGTGTTAAACTTCCAACTCATACAGTAAACAGACCAGTGAGAGAGGCAACATTGAACAAGGCTGAGATATCAGTCTCTTTTAAATGGCTAAGAAATTTTTGCACAGAACTTCCAGTATATCATTAAAGAAAAAAACCCCCACAAGCTCATACTTTAAACAAGGTATAACAAGATAAATGAAACTTACATTGTGGTTCCTCTACATCCATATACTGCATTTCTTCATTGAATTCAACCAGTCCTGGTTTTCCATTTCTCTCCACTTCAATATTATGAGCTGGAGATAAAGGAAATGTGATCTGTCTATCTACTGCTGCTTCTGGAAATAAAAATATCAGGAAGATTTCATAAACATTGCTTAGGGTTCACAGAAAACAGAAGCAGTAGTTTTCATAGCAAATTTATCAGCTTTCTATCCAAAACAATATTTCTAACATAGGCATGTTTTTCCTATAAGGATTGCAACTGAACTCGCAGCAAATATTTAAAAAAGGTATTTCTTTGAATGACCTGCGAACAGGCTGCTTTAACACTGCCCAAATTATTTTCTTCCAATAATCAACTGCAGATTACTCCTAAGTAATTAGATTCCAGTATTGAAAGTTTGATAATTTAAACTG